CTGTCAGTCACGTCTAAAGCAAAATAAACACACAGATGACATTTAACACTCTGGCTGTAGGACTCCTATAGCTTTAACTTCAGCTTCCACATGGAAGTGAAAACACTTCTATAAGCCATAACAGTGAAGGTGCCTCTGGATAATGCAATAGCAAAACAAAACAGCGGTTGATACCAACAACAATTTCAACAAATTACTGGAATTAAGTTCATCACTACTATGTTGTGATGATCATGTTTTAACTGGCCTTATTGGGATTGCTGCAAAGTAAAGGCCCCGCTATGTTACAAAAACATAAAAGTTCTTAAAAGGATGGAACACAACTAGCCTCGCACCACTTACCATGAAAACATTTTTTTAATACACCAAGACAACGAGCTCGTGATGTGTACTAGGGCTGTTCGATATAACGATATATATCGAATGACGATATAAAAACGTCTATTGTTTCATTTTACGCTATCGTTTGTTTCGTGATGTCGCAAAATAAACTGTTTACGGCAATATTTTTTCATCGTTTTGATGGTCACTGTAGTGGCTATATTAATTTCTTAAAGTTCTCTCTTTCTCTTATATTTAATATAACCACACTACAGACGGACAAGCGCCTGTTTTCATGCGTTGTGGTTAGCAACAACGATGGTAAAACCATCGCGTGTCCGCTTGTTTATGTTCCACATAAACCTTTCACAATAAAGCTCAAGATCCTGTTGAGACTTTTCAAAATAAACTGAATCACGTGAAAGAGGAGATTATTTACGGATGAGAATTAAAAAAAAGAGCCGCCAGGTGCTAAAAAAATAAACCTTAGACTCAAACGTTAGAACAGGCTTTTCCCCGCAGCGCGCTGTGTAATAAATACTCAAAGAAAACGGCGGCCTTTACAACTTCTGTCTAAAAATGTATAGTTTCATGCATCAGTTAAAACACTCGACACCAGCTACATGACGCGCAGCTGGAAACACGTCCCGCAAAACGAGCTGCCCGAGATTCACAAAATTTACAGAAAATGTTACACTTTTGTGATTTATATCGTTATCTGGACGATAGAATTCTTATATCGGGATATGAGATTTTGGTCATATCGCACAGCCCTAATGTGTGCTATCAACTCTTCTGCACTGTTACCATTTCTGAAACATTAACTGAAATGAAAAAATAAATAAATAAATTACTTAATTTTTATAAGCAAAATGTTTCAAGCAAGAGAGTGTGAAGCAGAAAAATCAAAAAACTTTCTCTCTGACCTGACTTTACAATTATCATCTTATCATCCACGACTAGGAACTTTGTCTTCTTTCAACAACTTATTTTCTAAAGCCAGCAGGCTTACACTTTTTTCATTTGTATGCATTTTAGTGAGAGAAGAGCCATGTAACTACCCCACAGAGATCAATTAGAACTTTCTCAAGGATTTCTGAAGAAGACACAGAAACTACCTCCATCCTGCTCAAGTGACTACATGTTTAAACACCAGGAACACACACATACATAGACACACACACACAAAGAAAAAAAAAACACATCTGTATAGCAACTTCTTGGGGTGCTATGAGTTTTAGTCTAGATCAATAACAGTTATGCTTTGGAGTGTATTAGCAATTTTGCAAGTGGTGTACACAGCCCATATTAGAGAAATTTTCACAGCTGGTTACAGTTAGTCACACAGAAGCCCATCAGCATAGCAACTTCAACTGCTGCTTAGCTGACACAGGTGGAAACAATTGACAACTGATGGGTCATTAGTCATTTGAATTTCATCATGTGATTGGTGGATCTGAAACCACCAATTTATACTAATTTATCCATCTGTCAGTGTCCTTGTCTTCGTTTTTAAATCAGCAAGCTTAAATTGCCAAAGTATCACAATTAAAGTCTAACATTTACTTTTTTCGTCATTTTAGGTTGTAAGCATTACCCGTTTTTTCCTTCAGCTTTTTCATCCAACCTAACAACAACTTCTACATAAATTGCATCAACTAGTTTAAAAATATATACATATTGATCTAATATTACAATCCCAAAACTTAACTGGTTTCTAACACTGTTTTCAACACATCTCTGCAATGATGCCACTGATTCCCACATTAGGGTTTCCACCACAAAACCTACAGGCTGCTAAGAGTGTGTGTAGTTTTACTCACAGGAGGACAGAAGTGCGAGGCGGAGAGAGGCAAACACTCATTTCTAATTTCCGCATTCAAGGTAAGATGTCTCTATACCACAAGGCGAGCACTTCATATTTAACCTCTTTTACAAATTGTCGGGCCTGTTTATGAGCTGAACAGGTAAAACATTAAGTCAAATTTTAGACAAGTTCTTTACTAACTTTTCTATGTCTAAAAATGGTCAAGTGGACTTTTAATACACTGGAGAAATCCTTGTACATGCTGACAAAGTATTCCCTGCATTCTGTTATTTCACAAAACGCCTGAAGACATGGGACAAGTACAAGAGCACTGAATCAATCAATATAGTCTGCATGTAAATGAATGATGAGGAATGTGAAAACACTTCTCGGGTAACCACTACAAACACAGTTTAGATTAAGGAAAGTTATTTCCCCTCAACTCTACCAACAATACTCTACATTTCTAACATGATGACTCAGTCACCTGCCAGGAGCAATTTATTAGAGACACAACATAAATTCTACCACATTCACACAGGAAAGTCTGTCACAGCAAGGATCAGCTAATTTCCTAACGTGGTAAACACTTCTCACAGGGTGTCTCAGTCGTTGGTCAGCCACCAACTCGTCAACAACATCACATGCGCAGTTAGTCACCGAACATGTGCTCTTTGGACTAGCACACTACATGTTACCTACTAACAACAAAGGTAGAAATAAGGATACGAGTCAGATCAAGGCTAGACACACTGATGAGGAAACAAGCACTTGTATGGTCACAGAAGCAGAAGATTAAGGAGGGGGAAGAAGAAGAAAAAAAAAAAAGGTTTCCTACGTGGTATAAAGCGTCATCAGAAAAGACACCCGTTAAGATCCAGTGACAATGAAAAGCACCATGTCACGTACTTGTTTAACAGCCAACACCAGATGTAAACAAAAATAGATAAGCCTGTACACCCACTTTTCCATCAGTAGATATACCGCTGACTGTGAGTTTAGCAGGATCACTCATTGTTTAAGAAAAGCTTTTAACATGATATACCCATAAGATAAGAAACACAGTTTTACTGCTTTTGGCAGCGTCTTGTCTCCGACTGACACAACAAACTTTCAGGCAAGTGGAACAACACTTCTTTGACACCAGTGCGAGAAAAGAACAGTAAAGGAAAGAGCCTTTGTTACAGTGAACCTTATCTTCAGTTCTAGATAAGGTCTGTTGTAAATGATCACATGAGGAACTTGATAACCAAAATGCCATGACAGGCCTTCAATACCTCCATGAAACCAGTGTACTGTAAGAATACTATACACACTTCTGTTAGTGATATACAAAATACTCAATACACAGCTTCTCCCAATGAGTGGAACTGTATCTACAAGAATACAAAATTAGTGTACACAAACACCTTTGGGAAAACATCCAAAATTCTGGCAATTCTCTGCTTACACTATATATACTTTGAGTCAGTTTCATTACCAATACCTGAATAATCTTCTCCAAACAGCTGAATATCAGCTGGTAGATAAAGGGCCCATAGCATTGACAAGCAGGGGAAGATGGAGCCTAGTCTTTGTTTACATTTTATTACAGCTGGGAGAGCCTTTAAAGACCGATCTGATAAGGTTTCTGTTTGCTTGACTGACAGCTCTAAATACCTAATTCAACGGTTCAGTTTTAAATCACCCTGGAAGACATTCATGTGCCAGCCACTGACACCACCTGTGAGATTGAAAAATTCAATTGCAAAACACTGTGCCCGAAATGGACGTATAGTATTGAAAATGAACGTGTAATTGTACCGCAATTGTGTATGTATTCGCACAGTTATGGTTGCAGTAGCCTTTGACACCTCCACGCACGTGAATTTTGAGTTTAAATAATACTTTTCATTAAGTAAAAATCTGTTATCATGACATCCATAGTTAGTATCTCAACTTACTACTAAATATTATCTCTGACAACACTCCACCTGGTTCAGTAAGTTTGTAAAGTTATGTTGTGAAATCTAAGATAATCTACACAGATGCATAAAGATCTCCGATTCACCTCTAAACTGTACTTTATAGTCAATTACGTTCCAGTGAGAAGTTGCGGATTTAATCTAGGGCATTTTACTAACGACACTCGATCCCGGTCTTATTGCTTGTCTACCTGAGCGTTGCCTTCATGGTGCCCTGAGACTCAACCTGATTGCATCTCCTGACACCATTTCCCAGAGCGGTGAATGACGAACACTAACAGCAAGTCGACAGGCTAGGACAGACCTGCTGAAATTCCTCAGAGTAGTCCTGAATTTATCCCGGATCTTGACGGGATTAAATTACAGTGGAGTTAAGTGAGGACACTAATCTGATTAATGAAGCGGCGAGAAAATGAAAACGCCAATATGTTGATAAGTATGGCGCGCTAATCCGTCCTATACGGTGTAGGCGCAACAAAAGATGCGAGTGTTGCTATTGCGGTGCAGTTATTAATGGCTGGTTTTATGAATAGTATCAACACTTATAGACTGACAGCTTGAAACACCGCTTTCTAAAGCGAATAAATTAGTGCCAAGCGAGCTACATCGCAAAGGGGCAAAAGCATATGATGCGAAACCTTCCGAAAACACAGCTGCTCAAGTCTGTTAATACAGTCCAAAACCTGTTGTTTTAAACCAACAATGCTCTCACAGCCATTACTAAACTGCAAGCACTGAGACAATACATTATCGTATAGTTCCACATTTAAAATCAACCGCATTAATGCGAGACTTCAAGTGGGACAACCTGAGAATGGGACCTCAGCGATACAACGCTAGAGCTAGCGTTAGCATGCTGTGTGGGGCCCCGCAGAGAAGCAGTAACTTGCGCAAACAAAGACACTTACCTGAGTTACTGTCGGGTCAGCGTCTCATTTAATGATATCCAGCTTATGTGCAGGCTGATACTACCCAACAAACACCTTGAGAAGTGGGCATTAGCTGGTTTCACTGGTTTGCTTCACGGCAGTTCAATTGGGTCTGGCTAGTGTTAGCAGCTAGCTAATATTGCCTTACTTAGAGAGCAACTCGAAGCTGGCCCAGTGCGTACATTCTCCTCAGCGAGCCGCCCTCAAGTTTAACGTTGTCCCTCTCAGTTGTTTTGAGACATAAAAATATTGCCTTGTGGCACTGCCAGACTGACCGACGACGAAGACAAGAGCAAAAATGGTCCTTAACTGATGCAAATTAATGACACAACATTAAAAAAAATCCAAAATGTCCACTACATTCAGCAAGGAAATACAAAAGGCAAAACTGCGAACCACCTCCGGCACAGCGAAACCTTTTCCTCTAAAGTGTGCCGCACCCAGATGTTTTCGCTCATAATTTCCAGGTCTTTGCTCATTTACAATAGGCGCAGCTCTACAGACTGGAACGAAGCTACATTGAGGCTGTGGGGAACAGCACGAAGTGGCGAGTTTCTTCTCTGTGACCTCCGCGGGTACATGGAGAAAGCTGTCCACCAGTAGTCGCCTTTCCAGCCTCACCGAGCCCCGTGGACGACGCTTTCACTATCTCACCCAGACACTACTAGTGATTCCGCTTATCTTCCTCTGTGCATTGACTTATTGACACTGTTTTCCCTTTCAAATAGGCTACAGGATATTCACACAGACTGCAAACACGTATACAAACCAGACCGACAAGGTATTTTATTAACCCATTTACATATAACGTACAAAAAAAGGTGTTTGTACGGTTTGCAGCAGCCTTCGTCGTTCTTGTTATGTCGTGGCGCCCTCTGGCGTAAGTAGAAGTTTTTTGCATTTCACTGGAAATTTAAATTAAATAGAATAATATTGGCCTTTTTTCTAATTATTTTTAATGGAGATTTAAAGATAGCCAAAGATATATCCATTAAAATAGCCAAGTGCCTTTCAAGCGTAGAATTTCCCCCATAATGTTTGAAACTTAAAAACAGGTGTGTTCAATGTAAAAGGCTTGAACAGTCTAACTTCTAGTGTCAACCCTCTAAACGACTTAATGAAATTGTCAGGCCACCAAGAGTAGGTAGCCGATAAATGTAATATTATGACGCAGCAGAAAGAAACAGTTGAAAAGAGGATTTTAACTATATTGTGAATCTAGTAAGGGTATGTTAGCTTCTATGCTTGGATACCTGTAACTAAAGCCTGCTGTTAGTATTTTTGTACCACTGACATAGTATCTGATCACTGCATTGAAGGAAATTCTGACATGTCACAGCTTAAGTGATGGCATAAGTAATGAAATTAATGATGACAATGTATGTTTCCAAAAAGAACTATTGTGGAAACCAGATTATTCATATTCTTTAATATAAAGAAATGTCCATTCTTAATTGCACGAGTGTCAAACATAAGGCCCAGGGGCCAGAATCGTTGGAAGGACTCCAGCTCTGCCCACTGGACGGCTTTGGAAAATGTGAAGGGGGGCTTAAATTATGGACATGAGTTCTACAGCAATTCCTACTTATAAATAACTCCACCATGGTCATCCATACAACACCAAAGTAATTATGTAAAAGAAAAACATTTAAATGGCAAAAAATAGTTCCCATTTTTCAGTATCTACAATAGAAATGTTTTTTTTCAATGGGTTCATAGTAAGACAAAATAAAGAGAAACAGATAATTTTCTCTGAACTAACAAAAGCTTTCTGCCTTATAATTACAGGACAGTCTTGGCAATGAGCAACCAGAACCTTTTCTGTAAATTTATACATTTCTTACCATTTAAGCCCAAAGAATTGTGCTGGCAGATGCCTTTTATTTCCTACGGCACAATTCTTTTATCATGTAGATAAACTGCACTTCTTGTTCATATATGAAGATATCTGATGGATTTAATGTGTAGTTAAACTTCTTTACCCTGACAGAAAGTTTCACTGGTCTGTTTCCCTTAAGATCAAATGAAGTTGTATGTGGCCCTTGAAATAAAATGAGTTTGACATCTCTGGTTTATTGTTTTAGTAACACCAGGACGAATTAAAAAGGCTGTAAAATACACTGAACATGTCATGACGAGGTCCTGTCGTGATCTACTGTACATTTAAACAAAGGCAGACAGAACTCTAGCGTGAAATCCTGAAGATAGTAATAATACCCCATTTCTCAACTGAAATGTACCTGCATCCAGATATAATATAATAATGACAAAAACAGTTAAAGAGAACATCAGTTTACATTGATGCTTCTTGTGAGTTAACCAGTCCTTTGCATTGGAAAAAAGCATCCTGACACGGCGCACGTCCGAGGAAGGTTTTCACCATGTCCATCCCATCCACAGAGCCCCCAGCTTCCAGTATCACTCTTCTGTACTCTTTTCCAACCTGTGTTTAGGGCATAAATGCACATATAAAGACAGTTTCAAGGAAAATAAGACACATCATTAGAGTGAAATGTTCATCCAGAAAACCAACCTTTGGATTCATAATGCCTTCCTTTTTAAAACGACTGAAGAAAATGTCCATGGAGTAGACTTCGCTCCATAGATAGCTATAGTACTGACCATCATATCCACCAGCTAAGTGGCTAAAACTGGCTGTCATGTTGGTTCCTGCAGAGAGCAGATCTTTGTTACAAATCACTAATACAAACTCCAAAAAAGAAAAATGATATTGTCTATGTGCTTCATACAAAAAACTGAATACAAACTGCTAATGCCCACAGTGGACTGTTTATTATAAAATGTAAATCCTCATCACTGATAGAAAGCTTAATGCAATAATTTCTCAAATATATTCTAAATAGCTGAAGCTAAAGCTGACCTGGTGTAGCAGGAATACCCAGGATGTCCTGGCAGTGCTTTGCAAACACCTCCGCAGTGTCTGCACGTGGGCTGATGTGAAGCGACTGGTCCACCTTACTAAGGACTACCTGACGTAGGTTCATAAGCCCTGAAGTGAACACATCAACAGAGGCTCTTCACTTACACATAAATGTTACACAGACTTTCTTTGTGCAAAGTTTGAGTGTCTGACCAGTGTTAGCAACTCTGGAGGCAATCAGTTTGTCGAGCAGCTCGTCTGGGATGGGGGTGCCATCTTTGTAGTGACGGGACATTCTTCTCAGAGGCTCCTTTTCCCAAACCCAGTTCTCAAGCATTTGAGACGGCACCTCCACAAAGTCTGTCTCCACCATTGTTCCGCTGAATTCTGAAAAAGCGGTCTGACACATACACAGAAAAACTCATTCTTATTCATTAGCACACAGTATACAAATATCACTAACTTCCTGACTGAATATAGCAACTTACATTTGAGCAGATTTCGTGCATGACATGACCAAACTCATGAAAATAGGTCTCCACTTCATGGTGTTGGAGGAGAGAAGGACAATCTTTCCTGGGCTTGGTGAAGTTTGCCACCATGGCTGCAACCGGTAGCCTGCGCTTTCCATCAGGGCCTCTGCAGCCAGGCTGGAGCCCAAAGCAACCTGCGTGGCCATATTTTCCTTCCCTGGTGAAATGTCACAGTCAGGCTGAAGTCTATCACACAGATCAAGAGCTCTGGTCAATGTTAGTGAGCTCACACTTCATAAAAACATCAAACACAGGATCTTGTCTTGTCTCTGAAAAAAATGACACATAATCTACCTTGGATGCAGATCCAGGTAGAACTGACCAATCTCCTCCCCCGTTTCAGTGTCCAGGGCTGAGTACAGCTTGACATTTTCATGCCACACGTCAGCCTGTTCCACCTCTGTGAATGTGAGACCCAGCAGCTCCTGGTAGATACCAAACAGCCCTTCTGTCACCACATCAAGAGGGAAATACTCGATCAGTTTGTCCTTGTCCACAGCAAACTTGCGCTGCTCCACTTGATTCATGTAGTAGGGCAAGTCCCAGGCATTAATCTTCTCATCAAACTGGTAGCCCTTCATCAGGCACTCCCTCTTCTTCAGCGCAAGAATGTATTTCCTCTCTTTGATTCCCACGGGCTTCAGTGCTTCATGGAACTTGTCTATAAAGGCAGAAAAAGAAAACCTCCTTAGTTGTAATGTGAAGCATGCAATTTCTTTGAACCTTTTGCTGTCTACTTTTTAAAGCCCAAATCAAACTAACTCCCTTTGCACACTCAAAAAAAAGAAGATGAAAGTTGAGCATTTTTGTAGAGGAAATCTGTTTTAAATCTGCAGATGCTGAATATTCAAAATTTGTTGTTTGCATTGAAAACTATTTCTGCAGCTCTGGGTTCCTGTGTGATATTTTTTTTGAGTTTTGGTTCCTGTTTTGATTCTATTTATGTCATTTCTTATGTTTCTATTCTTCTTCTTTCTGTAGTATCCCACTGCTTCCTTGTCTTTGTCTCTTTAGTTAGTTCCCTTGTCTTTCTAATTTACACTTCCTGTTTTTACTGTGGGAAAAACTTTTCCTTGTGCCTCGTGTACTTTAACCTTTTGCTTTTGTTCCTATTCTATGATTTCTTCTTACTGAGCATCTCTCTGTGCGTGTATACAGTCTTGTCTTTTTCCTTTGTTGGATTGGAATTTTAGTGCTTCTTGTGGTCCTTTTGTGGGCTCTGGTTTTTGCGATTAAAAACATGCTTTTAGTTGTTCAACCTGATTACAGCCGATGATTATACTACTAATTATAAAAAGCTGATGTTGTGTAATTTGTCATTAGTAACTGATTACATTTCACCTTGCATATTATGTGACTGCGTGTGGAGCTGCACAGCCATTCGTCTGTTCTATTGAGTTTCTTTTCCTACTTTAAGGCAGTTATCAGGAGGCGGGAGAGCTCATCTTAAATGACAGGGAATGTTTCCATGTGGATGTGTGTGCCAGCGAGGTCAGATGTCAAAGAGACCATACCCAGAAAGTCAGACACGTTGCTTGCATTTTTAGCCATGTTAATCTCCAGCACATACTCAGCATGGCTACCGTAACCAAGTAAGCGTGCAACCTTCGCCCGCAGCTGTATCAACTCTTCTAAGATTGTCGTGTTTACCTGGGGGGGAAAAAAACGAGAGACGCGGATCAGTGAAATCATTTAGGCTTATTAAAATGAATGATAATGTTTAGGGTTTCCAGCCTGAGTAGATTCTGTGACACATTTGGTAACCAGCAGTAATATGTGGTTTCACTGAGCAGGTTCTCTGGGCTGCAACTTCAGCCCACTAAAGACATGGGATATGCAACATTGCTTGTTTCATTAATGTGCTAAAGTGACAGCAATCGCTGATTGTATCCTTGTATGTCATTTAGACATATGAGCAGGTGACAAATTAAAGGAAAAAGCTTCCCAATGTGGCTTGAGTAGCTACCACAACAACACCAGGGCCTGTTGTCCGCAGCTTTTTATATCACACATTTTCTCATTTCACCTGCACATGTGTATGGATCCATAGCTGTCCAACATCAACATGACTTGTAGTTATTTATTTATTTTAAACTGGAGTGTTTATTGAACCTTCAGAAAACGAAAAAAAAAGAAAGAGTTTGTATCATTTTTGGTATATGAGCATTATTGCTCATAGTATGCTTATCCTAATCAAACAAAAACCTATAAGTGGCCAAAGAATCAGATGGTTAGAGGTCTTAGAAACTCATATATCAAATATGATCCGCTTGGCGTTACAGGGTATAAATATTAATCATCAGCCTGCGGTTTACCTCTTTACACCTGCTGTTAAAAGCCATTTCCATCTTTCTCCTTGTTTCAGGATTATGGCACCTCTTCATCAGTGGATAGTAATGGGGATATTCCAGGGTCACTTTATACCGTCCTTCAGCCGTCTTATCCAGTCCACTTAGAAAAGTGGCAGCTAGCCCACCTGAGCAAGTATGGCACAAGAGAATCAGTGAATACGGTTAAAGCGTGGCTCTCAAGGCAGCGTTTCATGAGTTTCACGTATCAAACACACCTAATTCGTGCTCAGAGAAAATAAGAAATTTGCTCTCCTCGTTCAGATTCTTGTTAAACTCGATGGAGAGTTCACTGATGAGCTTGGAAGTTCTTTTTATTTCCTTAGGAGAGAGAACACAGAGCAAAAGACATCACAGAGATTTTAATTTTTTACTATCTAATAAGATAAGCAAAGATTTACAGGCACTTTCTATGTGATTCTATTTGCTTACTTCTTCGTTTCAATTATGAAACACTGGAATTAATCTCTAAACTCTTTTAACCTGTAACTTTAACAAACGACTTCCATATTAATAATCAGATCACACATTACATTACCTCTTGTATATCTTTAGACAGGTGCAATCCTTTCCTCTGGCCCAGTGTAACAAGTCTGTCCAGGAATCTTTTTTCCTCAGCTGAAAGGTTGTCTTTCTGTTTATTCTACCAAAACACAATCATAACACTAAACATCTTCTCATACAGGTAGAATAGCAGGCATTCTGCTAAATTTATTCACCTATTTATATATTGCATGCCAGGGAGCCAGCACAGCATGAAATAACATATGGCACTGGCTGCCACTGATCAGATGAGATTACATTTCATTTCCAGGCTATTAAGAACCAGTAGTCCTTGCGCCTCTATGATCTGTTGGCCTCTGGCTGACATGAAGTGTGAAAAAAGTTTAAGATTTTCTTAAATGCAGCCAATCCTCACACACTAGCCTTATGATTAAGACTGCTTTAACACGTCATTATCTGTGTGGCCTCATAAAGTTATCAGTTTTTACAAAAGTCCTCACTTTACTTGAAGTGAATGTGGCTCGAGTCGTACCTGCAAGGCAGTGATTCGTTTGAACACATCTTCCCGCATGTTTATCTCCACGTCCAACTCAGACAGTCTCTTGTCAGCTTCGGTGCTTGCTGATCGCAGCTCCTTAGAAGGACAAACATACTGAGGGAAGGCGAGAACGTGGTGTGATGCTAAGGGAGCAAAGCAAAAAAAAAAAAAAAAAAAAGCAACGGTGAACGTTACAAAAACAATAGAACAATAAAAAACAACAACAAGAACAACATTTTATGCAAGAATTCAAATCCATGAATAGGTTGGTTTCTATTCAGCTAAAAGCCTTTGTACTCCTTCCTAATGAAGACAAAAAATAGAAGAGAATACCTAAATTAGATTTCTGATAATGGTACATACTTTAAGGGCGTAAAATATTCCAATATCAATTAATTTTTAAAAAAATGTGTAAACACATATACATGCCAGAGTGACGTAGTAGCTCATCAGGTTCATGATCAATCACAGTTTGCATGTTACTGCCTGTAAACCCACAAACGTGACCTTGACTTTGAGCACAAATTGGGTGAAGCTCTATTAGCTGACCATTGCATGTAACTTTGAATACTGTGGGAGCAGTAATCATTCATGTGAGCTATGGATGGATGGATGGATGGATGCCTCGCCATTATATAAACTCATCAGGCCTTGGATAGGAAATGTCACTAATTAGTTCAGGAAGTGTAACAGGAAGACACAACTTGACTCCACACCACAGTCTGCTCAGGTGTGATGCTACTCTTATGCTGCAGACAGTGCTAGGAGTAATGTAAGCAAAGAAATTGCTGCAAGAAGTAAAGAATCTTCACATGTGCAGCATAACTCCCTGTGATATCACCGATACCCGATGCATTTTACCTGCCAATACCCTGATACAGAGTCCATGTAATGTGCAGTACTTTGCATGTTAAATTATTTATATATATATATATATATATATATATATATATATATATATATGTGTGTGTGTGTGTGTGTGTGTGTGTGTGTGTGTGTGTGTGTGTGTGTGTGTGTACTTGTCTGGGATCATTTTCCCTGTAAAGATGGATCCACACTGACTGACTCAGTTGAAAGTGAAGGGATCAGGAAACATGCTCTCCATTGTCCTAGTATAGCTTACTGATGTTATTAACATATAGTTAACTTGTGTATACTCATTAGTGGGATTCAAACATTGTTGGGTTTGTTGGTTTCATGGAATTGTAAACCAGAATACACCAGTAGACTTACATGCATAATCCATCTTAGCATTAGCCAAGGTCATCAGGGTGTTTTCAACAGAGACATTTTCTATATTTAGGGATCCAACGTCGTCATAGACCTTCTTTACTCTGGCAATCAAGCTGTCTGTCATAGTCCTGATCTCATCTGGAGACAGGTCCCACCTCAGTGTGTTCCTTGCATGTCCTGCCTGAGCGCAGTGTCTGGCAGACAGCACTGACCCACTAGCGATGGTCATTCTCAGATGTTTACAGACCCTGTAAGAAAACCGGACCTTTTAATACCCACCGCCGCCCCCCAAACGTACAATATTTTCTGTTGCTCCATAGTCAAGAAAACGATCCGCTCGAATAGGTGGTATTAATGTAAGCACTATCTTCATGGACACACTCGACACACTTATTTCCATGTTATAACCGGTGATATTTTTCCTTCATCCATCAGTGTAGAGTTTCATGCCATGGCAGTGCGAGCGGAAGCCTTTCAAACGAAGTTCATAAAAGCGTGGAATAACTGTCAAGCAGCCAAAACGTACAAAACAGCTCAGCTATCCTTAAAGTGCCAATAAGCAGGAGATGACACTTTGTCAATTTAAATTATTTTTAGTTGTGGACCGGTGTCCGTGGAAGCAGAAGAGAGCAATTTAAAGTTGTTGAACGTAGTTTACCAATCTGTCACACATACGTAATAAACAACTTCAATTTAGTGGACTAGTCCCTGGACTATGTTTGGCATACCTCAAATGTGCTCGGCAAGCTATAGCTGTTAGCAGATACATGCCAGCAGTATCGTGCGATTTCTTTCAGCAAAAAAAAATATAATCACATAAAAATAAAAATTAACCCCTTTCTTCCTCCCTTACGGTGGCTCAGTCCCTGTAGTCGCCGCAATGAACGGTATCTCTCCCCGTTTCTCGCGTGGGAACCGCTTCTTATTTCCGTTGTTAACGCGCAGGCGCAGAGGAGGAAGACGCGATCGATCCGACTCGAGCCCTCCTCATGACGCGGTAGCAGCAGACAGCTGGATAAGACCTCAGGTAGGTGGGCGGGAGGGGGACACACACTGAACAGCATCCTTTAATAGAGTGTTATTTTTAATACGACTTCGTGTTGTTTGTAGGGCTCCGAGGATGACCTCTGTTTCCTCTCCTCCTCCTGTTTTCCTGTCTTGTTTTGTTTTTGGGTTGTGATTGTTTTAGCCAGCATCACACAAGCAGCGCGCGAGCCTTGTTTGTCCGGACCGTCAGGGTGTAGGTTTCCTTTAAAGACAAACACCTGCCAGCGCCACTGGCTAAATTATAATTTTATTTTAGCATTTATTTGAAATAAATGTATAAAGTCAGTGCAGTGAATGAAAACACCCATTATGCTATTACATCACAGCTTCTGCATCACTGCATTTACGTGTGTCAACACACGAAGGGAGGAGTAGCTGTGCTAGCTAGACTCAAATGAGCATAATGCTTGGTTTCAGCACGTGATAGACGTATGAGGCAATAGTGTTTGTGTCTGTAGCATCCCGCACTGTGATTCTGTGGCCATGTTTTTATTTTTTTGCCCCAGTTTCCCCACAGACTTTTTGCCTCAGTCCGACTTGGAAAAATCAAGCAGTAACTAGCCTTCTGAGGGGCAAGGTTTTTTTTTTGTTATAGGCAATAAAATGACACGAAACTGCAGATCGCCAGTATCAGTTGTAGTGCAACTTTGTAGCTGTAGAGATTTACTATCAAAATGCAATGCAGTCGTTTGATATTCTCCTTCACTGCTACAGAGTCCTTAACAAATGCAAGATTACTACTGGCACCCAAAAAATAACCTGGGATAGTTGAGCCCAGGTTTATAATTAGGTCATAACTACTATCTCAGCCTCTTCTAAACCTGAGAATATAAAAAGTAATGTATTGTTGAATAAAAAATGAAATGCATATATTAAAAGCACCAAAAATCTACTCCCTAAGCCAGCTTCTTTGTTTTGAAGTAGTGCCCACTTTTAATAGAGTCACAGTGATACTGAATTTTTGCATTGTAATGCCCGTATTGACTTTTTGGGGGTAAAAAATATTCAATAATATAAACATGTAACTCATAAATCAGAAATTAAACTGGAAAAAGTAAAAGGTTATTCTTTATTAATCTTTATTAAATATTCTACATTATTTATATACTTGTGGCAGAACAGCATCATTCAATAAAATTGTCTGATTGCTATATCAGCCAGAAAATACAGTCTTGAAAAAGAACGTTTTCACTGGACTGTATGCACTCTAGTGAAAAACTAAGTACATGCTGTAATTCAGTAGGTTGTAGAACCACCTTAATGTATAACTGTGTCACTCTCTCACATTGCTGTGGAGGTTTTTTGGCTCAACAAATCAAATAAAAAACAAGCCGAAATCATCAGCCCACCACCAGACAGTTGGTAAAAAGTGTTTGTGCTCATTTTAAATTCGACACTCTGGTCTTGTCTGTCCAAAGGACATTGTCCCAGAAGTCTTGTGGGTTGTTCATGTGCAAGTTTGCAAACTAAAGCTATGCTGCCATGTTCTTTTTAGAGAGAAGAAAATTTCTCATGGCAAGCCTTCCAAAGCATTTTAGTCTTTTTCTAAGTGTACTGTCATTAAATTTACCATTTAAAATGCTTACTGAGCCCTGTAGAGTGTGAGATGTAGCTCTTGGGTATTTTGCCATTTCTCTAAGCATTGCATGGTCTGGCCTTGAGGTGAATACACATCTAAATGCTCCAGACCAGCAAGCTGCAAAAGTTAATCAAGTGCATTTGATAAGTCGCATCTGCCTGCTGCTTACCCTCATAATTCCTATGGAAGCAGTAGGTGTGTACTTCAGAGGACTGCATAGAGTCTGTCTGAGTTTGATTAAATAAGCACAATTACAGTATTTTATACTGACTTATATATCAGTTATGCATTATTTAAGCATGTGTTTGTTATTTTTATTATGAAATGGCACCTCGTGAATTAGTAATTCAGTCACCACTGAGTGGTTTCCTTTCCATTTGATTCCAAACCCCTTCTTGTCTCTACCAGTTTCTAGGTAAAAATGGCTGTGGAAAAGCGCTTGGCATTCTCTATTGTGCAGTTCCTACGAGATCAAACACATTGTGGTACTTTAAATTCTGATGAGCAGGAAAGCCTCGAAGGTAGGTCGACTCACTGCACTTATGCCTTAGAAAGTGTCTGTGCAAACACTGGGCACTCTGCCTTGTCTCATCCATTTCAGAGTTCTGAATCTGCACAAACTGTACATACATTATGTCCCTTTTCTTGATAGTAAGCTAAGGACTGTCAAGGTAGTAAGAAAACATGACCAAAATCAGGCTTTGATAAGCAGTGCAGTTGAAGAGAATTATTCAAATAACTTGCTCTGAGCGTACAGCCAAGTTCTGACTCAACATGATTGTCCAGTTAACTCGAAACTACTCTGTCATATGTTGGCTGATTCTCCACCACAGTTGCTATACAGTGCTTGGAGACCACCTTCAAGATCAGCTCCAGTGACTGTCATCTTGCAGTGCCACAGTCACTTAGAGAGATATTCCTCAATGCCCTGCTCAAGGTGGGTAGTGAACACTTTAAAGTACTGTAAAATACATAGTACAATTATGCCGACTTAATTACACCGCTGCTTTTTTGTGTCAAGTCAGAATGTCCTGTGTGTTTATTCACTGACTCTTTTATTTTTCATTTTCACAGAATGACAATCTAACCATACCAGAGAGCTCCCCATCTCCTGAAGACATCGAACGAGCAGAGCTGCTTAAGAATGAAGGTAATCTTGAAACACTTCACATCTGATTACATTAGGTTCATAAATAAATATGGTGAGCTTCTATATTAAATGTTTTGCATCAGCTCTGATGCGCTTCAGTGGACATGTATGCATTATCTTATTTTGTATTATTAGTACTTAATTTATAATTTCCTATTATCACTGTTTTGTTGATCATATTAAACATGGACAAAGTTTGAAATAATCCCTAAACTTCTACCTTTCTGTGTCTGCTCTTGCTTTCTTGTAAATTCATCCTCCACAGGGTTTGGAATGTTTTATTGAATTGTGCTGTCAAATTGTTGTGGGTGGGGACCACACTGATTACATTTATCATCACTGGAGGCATTATGATTAGTTTCAATTCTATTTGTCGAGATGTAAATGATTCTGTAGCAGTGCAAGTTCAGTTGATGTGTCTCAAGTGCATTTGAATCTAATTTTGTGTTATTTTCCTCATTATCTATCATATATACACTGTTAAGGTGATGGAGGCTCATATTAAAAAGGCCTCATTGAGCCAAAAGCTCAGGCTTCATCAGTGCAGTGGGATCCTATTCCTGGCTGTACATGCTGCCCGGAGACTGGAATGTGCTGTCTGGCCTCTGTTGGGTCATAGTGAGGGCTCCAGACACTGGTGGAGGCCTTCCTGCATGTTTCTGTGTCGACATGTTGGCGTCCACTGCCACTTTGTCTTTGCTGTTGGTTGCGGCGACTGGGGGTTTCTGGGCGGGTGTATGGGTGTTTGCTCTCTGATGATTTGGGTGGCCTTGATGGGAGTAGGCGTGTTCTGATGTTTCTGCTGTTTCTCTGTCCTTGCTTGAGTGTTTAGTTTCGGGGTTTTATTCTGGTGGTTGGATGTTGGAGAGGATTATGCATGTATGTTCACAAGTTTAAAAAAGGTGGAGGGTGGTGTTCAGATTTCTGAACCTGTAGCTGGTGGCACATGAAACATGTCAATTTGCTTTCACCTACAAGATTTAAAAACCTGCCAATGCTTTTCTAAAGCTCAAGAAAAGGAAAAAAAGACACATCTATCACCCTAAAGCTGAATTGTCATCCTATTTTTCCATAAGATTGACTGAACCAGTCATGAGCTTTATGTTAACTTTGTTGTTATAACTACACACTTTGTTTCTTTAGGAAACAATCACATGAAGGAGGAGAACTACAGGAGTGCAGTGGAGTGCTACACAAAGGCCATTGATCTGGATCTAAGAAATGCTGTGTACTACTGCAACAGGTATTTACTGAACTGATATTTTACGCTGTTACTTATCTGAACTTAATTTTGTCCCTTAATCATGATTTGCACATTTGTTTAATATAATAGCAGACAGTAGACAAACAAAGCAGAGCCAAATGTGATGTAATGCTTGAACTGTTCGAGAAAGTGCTTGCTGACCGATTCCCTCCCTTTTTCATTACCCACCTGAACACAAACATTACACAGCGCTCTGAATTTATTACTTGCAGGGCTGCAGCTCACAGTAAGCTGGGGAATTATACCGAAGCAACTAGTGACTGTGAGAGAGCCATCGGGATTGATCCGACCTACAGCAAAGCATACGGGAGGATGGGGTTGGGTCATTTACTATTAACAAGTCATTTTGAAATAAACTGCTCTCTCCATAATATTTTCCAAAAATGACTGCTCACTGTTTCCTCTGTGGTTTCAGGTTGGCATTGACAGCTATGAACAAGTATCCAGAGGCAATTACCTACTTCAAGAAAGCTTTGGTATTGGACCCCGAGAATGACACGTACAAATCCAACCTGAAAATCGCAGAGCAGAAGCAGAAAGAAGCAACCAGCCCTGTGAGTAGAAACAAGCCTCTTGCTTTTAATCCTCTCCACATGTGTAGCATAATGTAACTGGGATTAATGTTGATATTTTCTTATTGGACTGTCGTTTACACATCTCTGCCACAGATAGCAGCTGGACTGGGATTTGACATGGCTAGTTTAATCAACAACCCAGCCTTCATCAGCATGGTAAGAGCATGAGTTCTAACAGGCGCAGCTTCCATTCAGGAGCCTCAGGATTGGTTTTATTTTTTACTGGATTAGTCCCATGAGTGATAGTTAGCCTGTTAAACAACCGCAGTAATTGTCTAGTAGAAATGAGAGCCTGACAACCCGAGCTCATTAAATTATGACACACGGGAGCGTGCGTTTGGCCGAGAATGTTTTTTCCGAGCACGCCAGGATTTTATTGCAGCATTAAGGACAAGACACATCTAAATCCGATAGCTGTGTATGCGCATTCAGGCCCCACAGCGCTAGATGGTAGATTGTTCTTCTGACAAAATTGCCAGTGTGATAAAAAATAAATTGCCCTTTTATTATGTACGTGAGAAACACATCAAGAATTGCTGTTGATTTCTCTTTGCAGGCTGCCAGCGTGATGCAGAACCAGCAGGTACAACAGCTGTAAGTCGAACTTTATGCATTTACTTCAGCATTCAAGTGTAGTTTCAAAAGACGAGTCCCACCGTGAACTGACGAACTGTGTCACTGTGCTCAGCATGTCAGGAATGATGTCTAATGCAGTGGGAGGCCCTGCAGCAGGAGTAGGAGGGCTCTCAGACATTTCCAGCTTGATTGAAGCGTAAGTACACTGAATGAAAAATTAAAAGCATTGCTTAATTACACCATTATTTAGTTGAGCTAAATGACCTTTTTATATGTACTTTTTATACTGAAAGATGTGGCAGTTTCTTTGTAAAGTCTTTATATTGCATCTCGCTGTAGAGTAATGCGCTGTACAGTTCCCCAGATAAACCATATCAACTTGACACATTCAACAAACCGGATAAAATGTGTTTACTTGTCAGCTGTAGAGAGGATTTAAGGAGAACTTGTTACCTATGAGTGTTTTTTGTGTCAGCTACTGTAGCTACTGATATTGATCTGACTCTTGGCAAGGGACAGCTGGGCAGTAAATTCCCCAAATTGTACCGAGATTTATTTCAACCTTTCTGAAACAATACTTGCAGTTTTGACAATATTGGTTGTAATATTTTATCCCTGTTGCCTTGTCTGGATGTGCAAACCCACTCTGGGGTGTTAAAGTACCTGTTTGCAGATTCTGAATGATTGAAAGGATTTTAAAGCAGGGACAGAAGGCACAGCTGTTAGAGTTGCTACAATCTAACTGATGTGATATTTTCATGTTACAGAATCCTAAACAGACATCACTCATTAACTGGGAACTCGGCATCAAAAAGCTGCACTGCAGTACTGTGCAAAAGCCTCGAGCCACGCCTAATTTCTTTATATTTTGCTTCCAACGAGCCAGACTTTCTTTTAATTTTTAAATTGGTTTTGAGCAGTAGTTCTCCTAAAGGTCTTTGGCTGTGTTTTCACTCATTTTCTTTCCCGTCCTTGTACCTGACCACCTTCAAGCTACTTAACACTGACCTTCAAGCATAAAAAAGATTTGTAGCTCAAGAGGTAAACTAGTGTTGTGTCAACACTCAACAAATAACTTAGGAAAGATTGTTGCTAGCAGCCTGTCACAAAAACACAGAATTTGTTCCCACTTCTTTAGTTAAACATATGAAAGTTGGCAAACATAATACTATAGTACTATAGTATAATACTATTACTATATAGTGTTATAGGGCAGCACAGTGGTGCTGACTTAGTGTGCAATACACATATTGGTACAATATCATACATATTGTGAAGAGACATGACCAGGCAACAGGCATTATTTTTTTTAAGAACAGAACAATTCGTCGTGCTGTTCCTGTTCTTGTTGAAAAGAATTCAGCTAAGTTATCTTTCTCTCAGAGGACAACAGTTTGCCCAGCAGATCCAGCAGCAGAACCCAGAGCTCATTGAACAGCTGAGGAACCACATCCGGAGCCGTTCCTTTAGCGGCAGCGCCGAGGAGCACTCATGATCTAGTCAGGTATTTTCTTTTTAAAAAATGTTCTATTCATGTTCTATTTAGGTATTTATTTAATATTTCAAAATCAAACCTGTAGCTAACTAAAAAAACAAACTTGGATCATATTTGTTTTATTAACATTTAATGTTTTTATTTCAGCCTCATGATTTTTTTGTTTTTCCAAGGAAGGGCATCCATATGGCGCGATCACAATCTCTACACCCATTTCTTAAAGTCAGGCCCCCGGCATAGCTGGAATAAAGAGACAAGGATGGGGTTTTAGGCACTTTACTGTGACTAAAGGCTCTGGAGTGGAGATATGAGAGCCTGGAGATTGGACCATGAAGTGAAGCATCTCACACATTTAGGACAACACATGTAAACACTAACCATAAAAAAGAGCCACGAATGCATTCAGCCTACCGACAGAATACGAGTAACTATTTTCTTCAGAACTTCTTTCCGTCCTTCAGAGATCATGTTTTCTGTGTGCTGAAATGACCGCCCTCTTCATGTTGTGATTTTAGGGGTTCCTTCTGTCAAGTCATGATAAATGGAGGGTTTGAGAGGAATGTACTTTTACAGCATTGTGGAGAGCACTTCGGCTTTCCCTCATAATAATACACATCGGGTTTATATGATTTGTTTAGTCTTATTTTTGTAGACAGAATGCACTGTACTTGTTTATTGGGTGATGAACACCGTTCGTTCCTGAGACTCACATCAGTGGTTTTCAGTGAGTACTACTTAACTTAATTAAGACAACAGTCTAATTGTATACCAGTGTTTGCTGCCTGCATTATGTTGTTACAGCACTTTAGCTAAAATTAACATCCTAACTTTAAGCCTATTTAATTTCTGATTAACTACTTACAGCATATTCATATTGTTCATTTTGCATGCTGTTGAATCTGGTATTTGAGATCAGATGCTTTATGGAAACACAGGTATGCTAAGGCAGCACATTGTTTTGTCAAACCATATAAATAATAAATGTCTTGAAACGAAACTCCTCACATGCGCCTTTATGTCTTTGAATTAATGTCATTATTATATGAAAAGAATCATTGTTTACTGTCAGTGAACCACTTTTTTATTACATGAAGGTAATTACACACATATTCATACTGTGCTATTTTTCAGTGCCTGAGCACTTTTCTTTACAAAACATTTACACACCCAACTTGTAACTCAGGGTTCTGCATCTTGCCCAAGGATACTTCAAGATCAAGTGTTTTGAACTTGATACTGATCGGGTCTGTGAAGTTAACAGAAGGGGGTTGTTAATGTGTTTCAGCTGCTTTGGTGTAAATGAAATTAACAAGTGCACTAGAGAGGCAACAGTGAGACAGTCCCCAAAATAGCAATGGTTCTACAGGTGCAGTTTTTCCACCTCATCTTTTGCCACTGTTTTTTCACTAGTTTTGCATTTTGCTAGGGTCAGTGTTATGACTGGTAGCATGAGGTGATACCTGGACCCTACAGGTAGTCAAACTTGTCCAGGATGCCACATCATCACGTGCCACTGCCAGAAAGATTGCTGTATGCTGCAAGAGCATGGAGGAGATTTCAGAAAACAGGCAGTTATTAGGAAAGCTGTACAGGGCTGTAAAAGGTCCTTAACCCATCAGCAGAAATAGTATCCGCTCCTTTGTGTGAGGAGGAACAGGATGAGTACGGCTATACCCTTGGGCTCATTTTCCACACTATGTGCTTTTTGGTGTTTACACGTTTTCTTCTCTGCAGTAATTTTTCTTTTACTTTAGTTGTGTGACCAAAAATGCTCTCCACCATCACAATTCATGCAAAAGCCAGTGTTTTGCAGAACCTTGTGCTATTGACATAAGCAGCTGAGTCATGTTCACGTTGATACAGAACAGACTTTGATACAGTGGCCGTTCAGTGTCAGTGAAATCACGTCAGGCAAGGAAATTAAAGATGAGGACACACTTCAAATCAGCTGTTATTCTGACCAAAGACCATACCAGATTGATCTGCTTCACATAATTTCAAATTAAGTTTTCCTTTTGAGCTCAATAAACTGTTCACTGACAAAGAACTTTAGTTTTTGCAAACAAATACAAGATTTTGGATGAACCACCACTTTTCAAGTTATCCATAGTCATAAAGACCAGAACATCAAGACCCAGACACAGTCACAAGTTTAATAGTCTTTATTAGGAACATGAGAACTTCAACAAGAATTTGGAGTTGGTAAGCAAGAGTAAGATTATTTACAGGGGCCACTCTGAGGACTCTTTGGTAAAGGAGACCCCACAGTGAGTGAGACCTGGAACAGGAAAGTATAGTTAGTTAAGAAAGAGGCAGTTGTTAATAAGTTTCAGCCGCTTTGGTGTTAAATACAGTAACAGTAGCAGAACTAGAGGGGCAAAAATGAGACACCCCCCAAAACAGGAATGTTTTTTCTTCTTCATCTTTTCTGTTTTATTTATTTATATTTTTACTAGTTTTGCATTTTGTTAGGATCAGTGTCATCACTGGTAGCATGAGGGGATACCTGGACCCTACAGGTAGTCCAACTTCTCCAGGATGCCACATGAGTGTGTGCCACTGCCAGAAAGTTTGCTGTGTGTCTCCCAGCACAGTCCCAAGACCATGGAGATTCCAGGAAACAGGTTGTTACTAGGAGAGCTTGACAGGGCCAGAGAAGGTCTTGAACTCATCAGCAGGATCGGTTTTTGCTCCTTTGTGCAAGGAGGAACAGAGTGAGTTCTGCTATAGCCCTACAAAATCACCTCCAGCAGGACATTGGTGTAAATGTCTGACCAAACAATCAGAAGCAGACTTCATGAGAGTGGCCCGAGAGTCCGACATCCTCTACTACCTGTGTATGTATGTGTATTTTTTATATTTATATATGAATTGTACAAGATCAATGGGACCCTAAGAGCCTTCATCAGGAACTCAATGGGGATGTGGCGTACAACACTAGGGATCTACCAAGGAGATGCTCTGTCCCCACTGCTGTTCTGCATAGGCCTGAACCCCCTCAGTGAGATCATTAATAAGGCTGGCTACGGATACAGACTACAGAACGGAGCAGTTGTCAGCCACCTCCTGTACATGGATGACATCAAGCTGTATGCCAAGAGTGAATGAGACATCGATTCACTGATCCACACTACCAGACTATACAGCAATGACATTGGAATGTCATTCGGACTGGAGAAGTGTAGTCGGATGGTAACAAAGAGAGGGAAGGTAGTCAGAACTGAGGGGATTGAACTACCAGAAGGCAACATTGCAGACAGAGGACAGTTACAAGTACCTGGGGATCCCGCAGGCGAATGGGAACCATGAAGAGGCCGCTAGAAAAGCTGCAACCACCAAGTACCTGCAGAGGGTCAGGCAAGTCCTGAGGAGTCAGCTGAATGGTAAGAACAAGATCCGGGCCATCAACACGTACGCCCTGCCCGTGATCAGGTACCCTGCTGGGGTAATAGGCTGGCCAAAGGAGGAGATAGAAGCCACTGACCAGGGCCGTGCAGAGAGGTTTAAAGTTGCTCAAAGTTAAAAAGGGGCACATTGAACCAGACTGAATAACAACAACACACATTCATCAAGAATCTAATATGGGCAACAAGGCAAAGCAAACGTCACCGATGTTTTACCTGATGGGTACATGGTAAATGGCCTGCATTTGTATAGCGCTTTTCTAGTCCTTAAGGACCCCAAAGCGCTTTACACTACATTCAGTCATTCACCCATTCACACAAGCTACATTGTAGCCACAGCCACCCTGGGGCGCACTGACAGAGGCGAGGCTGCCGGACACTGGCGCCACCGGGCCCTCTGACCACCAGTAGGCAAACATGGGGTTAGTATCTTGCCCAAGGATATTTGGCATGCAGCAGAGATCGAACCACCGACCTTCTGATTAGTGCTCTGCCACCTGAGCTACAGCCACAGTACAATGTTGCTGTTGAGGGGTTTCTGCTGCTCCTGCTGCTGATAGTGCTGGAGGGCAGGGCTGTGTTGATCTGAGACTGTAGACATTAAAAAGTCCATAAGAGAGATGGTAGCTGATTAAACAAGTATCATGAGATAATAACAAAATGCAAAGATTGGTGACAGCGCTTGGATGTCTTGCCTGTGAATCACTCTTTGCTTCTCTTCTTCCTTCCATCCCATCATTTCATATATCACTCTCCACTTGCTGTCCATCTGAGAACAAGGCACAACTTGCTATTGCAATAAACTATAATTTAATTATCCACACCTAACAACTCTTGGACTTAATCTAAATGATGACAGAAAAATGTTATAGCCCTGCCTTTAGTAGCCTCACACAGCTCCTGCTGTTTCCAAAAACTCATTGATCAAATCAGTACATGTCTGTGCCTTTGTAAGAGTTTTAATAACAAAAGCCAACACAGATGCCATGAAGCACCTTTTTAAAAGCAATATTAAATCAAAGATGACAGATTTATTAACATTTATGCACATTTACATCATTATTTTCAAAGAAAGTGATTTATATTATTCACAATTAATTGTAAAATACAATATTCTTCCATTAAGTTGCAAAAAACATAGTGTCATGTGCAGAATGCCGCAGTTGGTCCATTCATATGTAAAATGCAAAAAAACAAAAACAAAAAAGGGTAAAGAAAACTCCTAGCACTCGTTGCTCGTAAACGGGCAGACCACACACACTTGTGCAATGTCGTCGTATTCGTACGTCCTCTTCAGAAATGTATCTGTGAGCCTCAAACCAGAAATGCTCTGAAACAAAGAGGCAAACACATGAGTAAGTCGGTAAAGAGCACTTTGATCTGAGCACACGGTCAATTGTAAAGTCTGGATCGTACCTGCAGACCCTGGACGGAAGACAGGACTGTGAGGGGCAGTGAGAGGAAGGCGCCAGGACTAAGTTTCCCCAGCTGTCGCCCTGATATACCACACCAATGGATAGAACTAGTATTACACATCTCTAGCACCAGGTCCATAGTTCTTTCACTGCAATATCAGAAAAGCAGAGAAAAGCTGGTTATTATGGGCTAATTCAACCCCTCAGTGAACTGAATAATACTAAGGGTTGTATTATGAGGGCGATTTCATTTTTCAGGGGTTTCTACCTGCAGTTGGTGATTTTACAGATGATGTCAAAAGGTTCTTCAAGGTTGACAGTGTCAGGAATCAGGTCTAAAGACAGCCGAATATCTCCATACCCTGGAGCCTGGAGGACACGTGGGGATTAAACTGTATTTTCGTTCATAAGAGGATACAGTAAGTGAAATGAGCGCCTCTGTTCTAGCAGTAGGCTAACAGATCAAGATACCATTCTTTGCAGCTGACTGGTCTGTAGCCTCCCTCTTTCTCCAAGATTGGTCTTCCATACAATGTCCAGCTTGCCTATGACCGTCACTCCCTTGATGATGCCGGCCTTCTCTGCGTACTCCGGCTTTGGCTTCAGGCAGTACAAATACTGCCGTGTGTCCATAGGCTGCAGGTAGGACATTTTCCCAAATGTGGACTCTCTGCAGAGGAAAAGTTACAGCTGAGTATTGAGTGTAAAATGTTATCAAAAATAAGGACACATGTGTGTTTGTTTTACCCTTTGTCTGCTTGTGTGACCGTGTTGAGCTCTGTAACGTTGTACATCATGGATGGCTCTAAAGACACTTTCTCCATGAACATTGGCGAGGTGGTAATATTCTGAATCTGCGCTTCCAGGAACACTTCATCTGTCTGAGCGCAGAAGCACAGCGTCACACTAACAGGCTATTTGATGTTAGCCTTTATAACAAGCTACATAATCTCCAAGGTGAACTGAGCAACATGTCAGGTATTAACAGCTGGGTTAGGGCTTTTGCCAATGTGCCAGCTTCAAAAGGATGAGCTCATATTTTAAAGTTTGTCTTAAAACGATATTCACATGCTCACAGAGGCTGTTAGAGTTTCTCGTGGTTATTTCCCCGAGGGAAGTGGGTAAAACCTCCTGATCCAGCAAGCACACTTGCTTCATTGGTTCTCACAGCACGCGCTAC